GGATATTACTCACATCCAATTTAGCACAAACAGAACGTCCTATAAGGTCCGTACTGGAGTCGATTAAACGGAAATGTTTTTTGAACATAATTAAAACACCGCCATGTGACCAATTACCTAAACTACACACTACACTATAGTCAGTAAAGGAAATTTTGAAAGTTTCCAGTTGTTCGGATAATATCAGGTCGATTATTATCCACCCATACAAGAAACTGCGCCTGCTTAGACACACGAACTATACCTCTAATATTATATGACACGATTCAAATCATAAATGGAAATGATTTCCAAAACTACCTTTATTGATACCGCGAAAATAAAAAGAACTATCCTTGCGATTCATCTGAAACAGATGAATCATTCATATTTGGTTTTTTAATAACACCACATTGTTCGTTTAATTCTTCTTCATGAGCACTTTTATCATATTCGAATAAATGTTTACTGCCGGTTTTAAAATGTTCAAACTCATTTTTCAACCTCTTAATATCTGACGGCAATGAAACTACTGAATTAGAATTACTTATTTCAGTCCAATTATCTTCCTTCTGCGCTAACACAGGAAAAAAATGACTAGATGTTGTAATTGTACTCTCCGACGCTAACACAGGAGAACAATTTTCAACATGTTTCATTCCTTGTGAATTACTCACATGATGTAATTCGGCATTACTAATAGATGCAGAATCATTTGAAACGCTCTGAAAACCATCAGAACTATTATGATTCTCATCATTAGATAATCGATCATTTTGTTGATTCTTCTCAACAATTGTTGGTGGTGTTACTGGTTCAATCACAGTGTTCTGCATATCCGCAGGACTAGGCTGAACCAAAGCACTAACAACTAATGATGTAGGTTGACTTTTACATGATAATGAGGTTAATGGTTCGTTGAAACCATGTCCACTATGATCACAATCACTCCCATCATTTTTAGACGGTGTCATATGAGTATCATGTGAACCAGCTGAACATCCTTGTTCTTCATAATTAACATCTTGATCCTTAACTTGACTATCAACATCATCTACGCGTGTTATATTTGCATACGATGCATGAACATGGCAATCTGGGTCATCATGTCTAAAACTTTTACATACACGACACTTTAATACTTTACAATCTTTCTTAATATGTCCACTTCCTTTACAACGATAACAAACTTGTTGTCTGCCTTCCAAATGGACTGAAAAACTCAGTCCACCTATTTTAATAGAAATAGGAACATTCTGTTTCGCTTCTTTATTCGTAAAGCGCACACGCCGAACGAAGCTTTTAATTCGTCTATATGGGTGTGGAAGTATTTCACATTTTATATGCATCATAGTTCCCCATTTCGATACAAAAGGAATCACAGTCGACGTATGGAGAGCGATTTTCCCATTTACACTATGTACAGATGGTAAACGGAGCGATGGAGAAAGCACAATTCCAACCGAAATTTGTTCAAACTGTGGTGTGTGGATGTTTCCAACGATATACAAGATTTTAATTAAGCTTAATTTACCAACAAGAGTTTTCGATGTTTGCTATCGTTTAGCTAACGATTTTGATAGCGGTTTTCGTCGGGCACACAATTGAAATCTCCACCCATATGAGAATTACCAATGAGCATTTGAAAAGTCTATCGAGTTATTGTACTTATTTGTTGAATCTGTTAATATATGGAATAGATTAAATAAAAGGTAATATAATAACTGTTCTATACCAATTCTGTTAACGAACAAAAATTCCTATATACATCTTCATATATCTGGTATGATGGTTTGTGGCTACGAAGAGAAGAGTTTTAAATGATATACTCACGTATTAGTGATAGTTTGCGTGAACAAACTAGTCGTACTAAATTAAAGAAGTAGCCAAATTTTGGTCGTATTTGTCCATGCGCCGATTTTTTATTTGTATTATTTATTCAAGAGTATGCCACTTGGAGAATCACCTGGCGAAGACGAAATCACAGTCGACGTATGGAGAGCGATTTTCCCATTTACACTATGAACAATTGAATGTACAATTTTTTTACACTAAAGCTGCTTGACTTGGAAGCTCATGCGTTTTTAGAAGCACTGGTATATTTCTTGCTAATAACAAAGTAGCGCGAAAACAAATTGCAGTTGTGTTAGTTTTTCTGCAGT